GAGTCTGTCATACAGAGTGAAGTTAAGTCAGAAAGAGAAAGACAAATCCCGTATGCTAACACATATATATGGAAGTTAAGAAAAAAAAAATGTCACAAAGAACCTAGGGGTAAGACAGGAATAAAGACACAGACCTCCTGGAGAACGGACTTGAGGATATGGGGAGGGGGAAGGGTGAGCTGTGACAGGGCGAGAGAGAGGCATGGACATACATACGCTAACAAACGTAAGGTAGATAGCTGGTGGGAAGCAGCTGCATGGCACAGGGAGATTGGCTCGGTGCTTTGTGACCACCTGGAGGGGTAGGATAGGAAGGGTGCGAGGGAGGGAGACGTAAGAGGGAGGAGATATGGGAACATATGTATGTGTATAGCTGATTCACTTTGTTATAAAGCAGAAACTAGCACACCATTGTAAAGCAATTATACCCGAATAAAGATGTTAAAAAAAAAAAATACTGTATGATTCCACTTAGGTGAAGCACCTAAAGTAGTAAAATTCATAGGGAATTCATAGGGACAGAAAGTAAAATGGTGGTTGCCAGGGGCTGAGGGAGGGAAAAACGGTGAATTACTGTTTAATGGGTAATAGTTTCAGTTTTACAAGATGAAAAGAGTTCTGGAGATTGGTTGTATAACAATGTGAATGTACTTAACACTACTGAATACACACTTAAAGATTAAGATGGTAAATTTTGTGTTACATGTATTAAAAAAAAGAGTACAGGTAACTACGATTCCATTTACCTAAAATTCTAAAAAGTGCAAACTCATCTATAGTGACAGGAAGCACATCAGCGGTTGTCAAGGAGGGACAGGGAGGGTAGAGAGAAGGGAGGAGAATGGAGAAAGGGATTTCAAAGAGGCACGAAGAAACTTGTGGGGGTGACAGATACACTCATTATCTTGTCACGACAATTTCACAGGTATAAACATACAACGAAATGTACCAAATAGTACACTTTAAATATGTGCCGTTTATTGTATGTCAATCATCTCAATAAAGCTGTTTTTTTTTTAGAAAAAAGGATAAATGGGATGTACCAATAAAGATTAAAGCCGTACCTCATCATCAATCTTCATCTGGAAATCTTCCTCATTTTCCTCTTCTGGAGCAAAAAAGGACTTCTCACCATAGCCAGCATCCTGGAAGAGGACAAATCCATGCATAAGACAAAGCACAAGTTTCACTGAATACCAAGTACAGAACACCAAAGCCCATTTTGCATAGAGAATGGATTCTGTAAAGTCTTAGGCGTACCTATCACCATTCTACATCCTTAGGCTAATACATGTGGATAGTTAAGGCCCGTTAGGAAGCGGAATAGAGATGCTTATTAACTCAATGGGACAGAGTTGTGCTATCTCACCCCAGCTAGACCTTTCCTATTTTGGCCTGAGAAGGACATTCTGCTTCTCTAAACCACATGTCCAGCACCATCATCATCTCTGCCCACCTGGAAGGCTATGGAAAACAACTAAGAAGTACTTTTCCTGCTAACACACCTGTCTTACAAAGAACAGAGATTAAAACCACCACCCAAATGAATGAGCAACCGTTTTCAAAGCAAAACAATATGCCCTAAGTCCCTCACTAAGCCTTCCCACTGGTATGTAGCTACAATGCAGTTTACCCCAGAACTGATGTACACAGAGTACATCATACAGTTTGACTTTATAAATAGTTGGTAATAATCTAGTAACCATCATTTGTAAGCCAGTGAGAAAAGTCTTCACCCTCATCTCTCTGAAAAAAACCCACAGGCATAAGTAGTGCCTAAGAGGAAGGTGTTCACCTTCAGCCGCTGCTCTGCTGCTATCATGCTATAATAAGCGCAGCACTGCTCTGGAGACACCATAGCCCTGATCTCCTCCTCAGTTGGTAAACGAAAATCAGACTTCAGCACCCACCAGTTTGAGTCCATGCCTAGAAAAGATAAAGAAAATGAGACCATTCTGAATTCCAAAGGCCCTTTCATTGACAGCAACAGGGATAGCAAAACAAGACTGAACTAGGCAATGTCCCAGGAGGTATTAGGCCTAGCCACAGTTAGCCTGACTGTCCGGCAAAGAAAAGCCCTGCTGCTAGATTTCCTATATCTCATGTAAGACATCCAACAATCACACTGAATTTCCTGACAGGCAAGATTAAATAGCAAAAAAAAATAAAAATAAAAATAAATTAAATAGTAATCAGAGCCTCCATAATTAGAAGATTTGCTACCTCCTTTTGATGACTTTATTATTTTTTTCTACTTTATTAACTGTATGTTTATCCTTTTAACTGGAAGCCGTAATTCCTTTCTTGGAGAGAGGCAGAGAGGACATATAATCAGTCACAACTGATGACCTGTGCGTTTGAAGTCAGCGCAGAGCTTTAGCCTCTTCCGGATGCTGCTTTCTGAATGGGAAGGAAAGGCTTTTTTTATATCTTCCATTCGGATCCGCCGTGGCCGATCTTTACTCTTCCAGAACAGGCGGTAAATAAAAACCTGCCCAACAAACCGAATTTTTTTTATTTGGCAAAGTAAGGATAAAAGTCCTCCCCAGGGCCCCTTCCCCTGCTAAAGCCCTATGTGTTTTGATCTTGCCTGGTGTGCCCCCAAGTCCACATATCCTTTTATGTACACCCAGAGCCCCTCCCTATCCTCTCATTCTTACCTGGAGAAAGTCTCGAATATGTGTATTGGCCCTTTTGGAGTTGGGCCCAGGAACTTCAAACAAGGGGCACTGCTGTCCAACCACAAAAATATCCACTAATTCCCGAATATAGTAACCTTGTCTTGTGCGAATAATAAGGAAATCACTTTCTGGCATCTTATGAAGATAAATTGGAGCACGAAAAAGATTGTTCTCAAATGCCTAACAAAAACAAAAACACAAAAGTTATATACAGAGAAACCCTGGAAATTTAGTAAACTAATGAGAAAGGAAAATCAAGCTTGTTTGCTCTCTATCCCCATTATGCCATCTAAGGTCTATCGAATAACGTAAACAAATTATAACATGGAGTATCAAATGGGATTAGACAGATAATTTTTTACCCACTGGCTACCTTTAAGAGTCAGTAGTAGGGAAACTACAGGATTTGGATTCAGATGACACTGGCTCTGCTACTCACTGTATGATGTCAGATAAATTACTTAATATCTATGAGCTTAATTTTCCTCATCTCCAAAATGGAGATATTTAAAACGCCTATACCTCACACGATTGCTATAAAGATTATATATGAAAATCACTTTATAAACTAACAAGTACCATACTATTACCCTAGACCTAGCATAGCCCTTGACATAATATGTGAGATCAAAACATTTGTTAAGTAAATTAATAAAAAAATAAAACAACAAAAACAACTAATGAATTAGAAAGTGTGCTAGAAAAGACAGACTAAACATGCAGGACAGAAACATTTGAGCTTGTTTAAGTAGCAGCCAGATGAGGATCAACTATTACAAGAAGCTGTGATTCTAAGGAAAGACTTTTCAAAAAAATCAGAAAAGTAGAAAGAGGGAAGATCTTCAATAGATAGGTGTGGAAAGAAAATTCTAAATGTGAAAAAGAGTTACAGGGGAAGGTAAAAAAGGATCTCTCTGAGAGACTACAAAAGTAGCCACAAAAGAAGGGGATGGACTGGTAGAAAATCTCAACAGAAAGTTACAGGGGTAGGAACTCCAGGAACAGTATGAAGGTGACACTCAAAATATGGTGGGAAATGGATTACAGATGTAAAGGATAAAAAAACAATGTGCTTTGTAGATGCTTTAAGAGAATAAGCAATAGAAACAATGGAATAAAGTAGGTACAAGAGCAGGTAAAATGGTTAAGATTGCCAAGAGAAATGAAGTGGGGCGGGAGTGGGGGGGAAACAAGGTAGAAGAGTGCTAAAGATTTCCTCACATCATTTGTGGACCTCTGTACATTGCCTTAACAAAATATGTAAAAGCTAGGTTACCAAAGAGCATCTCTATACCCATCAAAACAAAGAGGGGAAAAAACCATTTCACTACAGCTGGGGACTGTAAGTAGCACAGTTCAGGGTGGTTCAATACTCAAAATGACCACGACTAATATAATCAAAACATACCCATCTTACACATACAAATTAAACATTCATAAATTAACTACCGTAAATTCTTTTTAAGATTTTTTTAAAACGTGGACCATTTTTAAAGCCTTTATTGAATTTGTTACAATATTGCTTCTGTTTTATGTTTTGGTTTTTTGGCCCCAAGGCATGTGGGATCTTAGCTCCCCAACCAGGTATCGAACCTGCACTCCCTGCATTGGAAGGTGAAGTCTTAACCAGTGGACCACCAGGGAAGTCCCTATAGTAAATTATTAATCCCAGGTTGACTTCCCTATGACACCCAGATGTTTCTGGACTTCTTACCACTAGGTATTTTCAAAAAACTATTTCAAATTTAACTTACTGAATAACATAATAAGGAGCCAGTTTCAATAAAAAGATGCAAAAAATTTTTGTATTATAATCATTTTTAGTTTATATTGATCTTTCCCATACTTAATGTATAAACAGTATCTCAATCAACTAGAATTGGTCCTTTTTGGGCTGACTAGCTCCTCATCTGTCAATTTCCTTAGGAAAGAGTTACAACAGGAAATAATTCCTCACCTGCAGTAATTGTCCAGGATGGAGTGAGCCTAGAAAAGGAGATGTATGGCAGTAAACAGTTTCTCCATATTTACAATCTGGGGCTCCGGGATCTTTTCCGGGTTTCTATAAGGAATGCAGCAGACCCAGTTACTATGCCAGAATATAATCAATAAGACTACACAAAATATTCCATGAGCACAGCATTCTACTAATAGTACTACCTGCAAAATGGATATCATTCCTTTCTCCCAATAAATTTCTAGTATAAAGTAAGAAAATACACTTTCACATATGATCACTGGATATTTAACTACAGCTATACTAACAACAAAGATTTTCTGAGCAGACTCACCCGCTTATAGTAGTTTTTAATCTTGGTTGCCATGCCAACCTGCATCATTAATGGTCCATTTTCCTCACTATATTCTGCAAGAATAAGATCTCCATCTTTGCCTGTGAGGTCCTGAGGTGTGCGCATGAAAAACATCTCTCCACCACCTGAAGCTTGCCTCTCTTGTTCTCTCATCTGCCGAGAACAAAGACAATACAGTACAGCTACTGACAGGACAATAATTACAGAGTGATGTTGTTCGTTGAGACATCAAAAACTTTTACTTGCCTTCTTTTTTTTCCAATTTCATTGCAAAAATTTTCAAAAATAAAGTCAAAACTATGAACACCTGTTATTCCACCACTTAGATGTAACTTTATATTTTGCCATATTTGTTTTACCTGTAACTATCTCTCAACAGATTTTGCTTAACCGTTTTTCAAAGTTGCAGTTATCATGGCACTTCACCGCATTTTCACATACATCTCCCAAGAATAAGGACATTTTCCTAAATAACCACAGTAACATTCTATCACATCTAAGAAAATAAATAATATCCTAGTATCATCTAATATCCAGTCCACCTCCCCCATTTGTACTCCAATGTCTTTTATAGCTGTTTTTTTCTAACCAAGATTCAATCATACCTTAGCCTTCTTTTTGATGTGCTTTAGCAAGGGCTGGACTGAGTGGGGACCTGGCTGAGATAGTGCCCCAAAAGAGTACTTCTTTAGAGGTGGACGATGGAACTGCCGTAATTTAATGGGCCCCATGTGGGTGGGAAAGAAGGGCTGCCGCAATTCCACAGCAGGAATTGAGTGCTAAGACAGAAATACAAGGGTTCACATTAAACTCCAGCCTAGGCAAGATTTACCCATATCCTCCATCATAAAAAAAGCAGTGGTTCCCATTCACCACAGAAAAAATGCTACTTTTACCTGGATAATATTTCCTCCAAAGGTGCCTCGAAGACCCTGTTGCTTAGGGTAGTAATATTCATCATTGGAGAGATTCCATGGATCTTTCACTTCTGGCTGAGACATGTTCTAATGATAGATCATCAAACCTTAGTGAGACTACCCTTCTCCATTACCTTTCTTTGTTCTTCTAAATACGAAACCCCTTTCCCCTTCACAGACCTGCTGTGGTTCCTCCTTGATGACTCCCGTTTTCCCTAACAGAATTCGACTCTTCTTCAGAGATGATTCCTTCTTACTCTCCTTGGAGGGGGAGTTAGAAGTAGCCTCTTCCTTTTCATCTGGAATTTCTGAGGAAACAAAAGTCACCCTGGAGTTGTTATCCCTTAAGATTCACCTTTCCTAATGACACCTTTGCAATTCCTAACCAGATTTCTCATCCTTCTCCAGACCACTTCCAGTCCATAATCAACTCCAACCAAACTACACTCCTGACATCTCCAAGGTACTACTTTCCAACATTCCTATGAGTTTTCCCTAAACAATACACAAATACTAGAAACTGACAGCCACAACTTTGCTCTCTCAAACTGCTATCAAGAAGCTTCTAGTCTTGACCTTCCCAACCCTTCTGATTTGCTCCTGCCCCCGACATTAGCAGAGCAAGCTGTCAATTATGGAGGAGAAACACTGACCCAGCCAGTACCATACCCAAAATGAGGTTCTCATCATTGGGATCAAGTGTCAAAACAGGAGGCTCCAAGAGCCGGGGCATGGCCTGAGCATCCCAAATGATATTGTCCTCCCAGCGTCCATATACTAGCTCCTCATTGTCAATGGGAAAAATGGAGTACCAAGGTTTGTCATCATCCAGGGTTGCTGCAAAACCTAGTCAAAACACGAGAAAACAATAACAAACAAAACATTTATGCCCCCTTCAATTCTAGCAAAGGGAAAAGGAGCAAATGCTACTAGTTACTCATGTGGCTACTGAAAAGGAACCTAGTGGATACAGTGTATTTTAAAAAATGTTGCAGACTAAAATGCTCACTGCAATGTTTTTCTATAATAGTCAAAATTTAAACAGCTAAGTGTTTAATAATGGACTGATTAAATAAATTATGGTAAATGATATGGTAAAATACGCTAACAATAAATGTACTAAAATGTTATATTTAAAATACAATAATTATTGGTAAATTATGAAAACATCCAAGTATGACTGCTATGTAACTAATAAAGTGTTTAGATAGAAGGAAGGAAAGAGGTTCAGCTCCAGGTCAGCCGGCAGTCGCATCCTTCCCATGACCTCCGCCCACAGCGGGGCACAGGCCTGAATAAGGAACTGGGCGTGCTCTGCAGAGATTCGCAGCCTCTGAGGGCAGCAAGAGGCAGAGGTGCAAATGCTGGTGAAGGAGACGGGAGGTGTGTACGTGTCTGTGCTCTGGAACCTCACAAACTTCGGCTTCCACACTCTTCCTCTGATTCCTCTTCCCGAATACCTTCTAAAGGTTCTTGCCGTGTGGATGAAAGGCGCTTGGTGCTGCAGCCAGGAGTCAGTGCTGTGCCTCTGAGGTGGGAGAGCCAACTTCAGGACATTGGTCAACAAGAGACCTCCCAGCTCCACATAATATCAAACGGCGAAAATCTCCCAGAGATCTCCATCTCAACACCAGCACCCAGTTTCACTCAACGACCAGCAAGCTACAGTGCTGGACATCCTATACCAAACAACTAGCAAGACAGGAACACAACCCCACCCATT